AAGAACGAAAGGGGAAATTTGTTTTGCTTTTATTACTTTATCCAACTTTAGCCAAGTACCTAATAGGGCTGAGTAAACTCAGATCGTCTTAGTATCTTGAAACTTTCAAGTTTGAAACCGTGAGCTCCACCAGTTAATGATAGCGTCATTAAAACGTTATCCTAATTTACACCGGCTATTTTCTTTCTTTTAATGTGTTTTCTATTTCGATCTTATTTGTAATGTCTGACGTGATTTCCTACAGCACTATTAAGTATTAAATGTCAACATGTTATGTTGATTTCAGTCTGCTTTTCCTACTGGATTTGCTTCCATTAGATATTGCACAAGGACATTCTGCAAGGCAGACGTTTTTGTCTTTTTATTTTTAAGTTTGCTCTCCTTAATGGTTTGCTGTTCCCTGCTGATGAGATTCAACTGCCCGGGGTTCGAACTCGGGTCCGTTTAGAGTTAGCAATCATCAGTGATTCTTCCCGATTTTTTTCTCCGGGGTGGGGGGGGGGGGTGGGGGGGGGGGTCACTTGAAATTTTCGGGGGGGGGGGGGCGGTCAACATTTTTCGGGGGTGGGGGGGGGGAGGTGGGCGGACACTAGTAAAAGTGTATGTTTACTATACAAACTCCATCTCGTTTAGGGGGGGGGGGGGGCTGTAGACTTTCTTCGGAGGGGGGGGGGGGGGGGGCTCCGAAGAGATGCCTGGAAGAAACTCTGGCAATCATACACTCTCCCTCAACGCAGTCCCATTTTTTAAAATTGTGAGTTTAAATAAGTGGGGGTCACAGCCGAGCCGTTCTTCCCCCCCCCCCTCTATTCCTACACAAACATGTAAGAAAAATATTTGTCACTAACACTATAAATATTAAACAATTGTAAATGAAACTTTATCTTAATACTGCATTTATTGATATAGGAAAATAAAGTACATTTAAGACAGTGCAAGACAATTTCAGGTTTAGATTTGTAGGCATCTAGAGTGATAGATCTAGAATCTAGATTGTACAATATAAGTCTACAATACATTGTCCGTGACGTCATCACACGAGCAGAGCCGGCGATTTAAATTTTATTAATTTAATCTACTTGTTAAATTGACTTGTTTTATCATAAATTTGCGAGCAGATCTGTTTACACATTTACGTGCAATGTTAAAAAAAATAACATCTCCGAATAAACAAAAAATATTGGGAAATAGTTTAAACACATCGGGAATGTGACAATGGAAAGATAGCGAAAGTGAAATCGTATAAAGGTCCATTGACTCGAAAGATATACCGCTGTTTTTTTTGCAACGATTTTGATGAGAAAAAAAAATAAACTCAAACGAAATAAAGGCCGCTAGTCTGCAGAATAACTGAACTGTAATCCTTTAACAAATATATATTTTTAAAAATGTCTCGCTCTAATCACACGTTTTTTTAAATTACGCAATTACAATTATTGAACAATATTGATAATTAAAATACACGAATTTATGCAATATATTATCTATTAAGTTTGACTCAAAGCTATTCACTTATATATATATATATATATATATATATATATATATATATATATATATATATATATATATATATATATATATATATATATATATATATATATATATATATATATATATATTAATATTATAAAAAAACTGAACAGAAGATGATGAAAGTTAACAAATTAATGTGTAAATATAAAAAGCAAGTTTCTTTTTGTTATTGCAAATTGAAACAGGTTGTACATTTTTATTTAAAAAAGCTATTTGTAAAAAATAATAATGTAATAGTGTTATTTCGTAATTAATTGTTTAATTACGTTGTTTAAGCGATATTTTAGATCAGCGACATAAGGGAGGCAACTAGAGAATTACAGTCAAATAAAAATATATTATTTCCATTTATGTAACGAATCAAACATTTACAGTATATAAAAGTTAATATATTGATGGATCTATATTGATATATATATAAATATTATATATATATATATATATATATATATATATATATATATATATATATATATATATATATATATATATATTTATATATTTATTTATATATAATAACAAAGCGGGTAAAAGCTTATCGTGCCTTACACTTGATGAAAGATACGCGTGGGTAACATATAGACTTGATACATTAGAACTATAGATTCAGGACAATTTAATTTGCGTGTGGAAACAACATCAAGACGAGCTAGAGCAATCGTTCTATAGACCGCACAATGCGAATTGTGAATTAATAATGTATACGTGTATCTACTATGGGGCGGGGTGGCCTAGTGGTGGAGCGCTAGAATGCTAACCCGATAGTTTCGAGTTTGAAAGAAAGAAAGAAAGAAAGAAAGAAAGAAAGAAAGAAAGAAAGAAAGAAAGAAAGAAAGAAAGAAAGAAAGAAAGAAAGAAAGAAAGAAAGAAAGAAAGAAAGAAAGAAAGAAAGAAAGAAAAAAAGAAAGAAAGAAAGAAAATAATGTATATTTGTATCTACTATGGGGCGGGGTGGCCTAGTGGTGGAGCGCTAGAATGCTAACCCGATAGTTTCGAGCTTGAATCCGGGTTCAAGGTAATGGAAAGTCCTTAAGTCCACCCAATGGGTACCTAACTCACGTTAGGGAAATTAAGGGCACAGAGCTGACCACATTATACCTTTATATGTCGAGGTCAAGAAACTCCTTTTGATCTGCACAATGGATCGTAAGGTCTAAAGAGGAATCTTTACTTACTTTACTTACATTTATCTAAATCATTTTATTTGTTTTGGGGAAGAAATATTAATTGGTCGCAAATGTAGGTAGAGTACTTAGCTACTGGAAATCGTAAAAAGCTGATATACCCTTAGCTTTGTGACTTCGAAAATAACGATATATCCAACTATGTAACTGAAAATGCGGGGGTCGGCGTGGTCGAGTCGGTAAAGCTCATGGTTGCTTAACCGAAAAGTCTCGAGTTCGAACCCTCGGGCAGATGAGGCCCGTTAGCTTCTATGAGAGACAACACCAAAAATCAAACAAAGGCTAGCAAGCAAATCCAAAAAGAAAAGCAGGCTGAAATCGGAGTCAATTACCCCAATGGCGCATAACCAGTTGATACGTATCCTTAATTGTGATGGAGGTGTGGTCGAGTCGGCAAATGTTCAAAACCCTCTGGCAAATAAGGCTCGATCCCATCCAACACTAAAAATTAAGAACGAAGAAGAAGAAGAACTGAAAATGCAGAAATACTTCCATTGTCACACAAAATACCGAAATCCCCAATTATGTTGTTGTGAAAATATCGATATAGGCCCTAACATCTATTTGATAAATTATCAAATCACACATGTTTAAATAATACATCTCTAGATGTGGATAAGGAATTTTATTTATGACTATACATTGCCTTTCTTATTAGTATACTGTCTTTTTTTCGTTTTGGGAGAATGGATTTCCGATTATTTATAAATGATATAAATATTAAATCTTCTTTCGGTACATATGGGCAATAATTGTACATTAATTTTTTTTTACGCGAATCTTGTAGTGTTTAGATTGATTGATTGACTTCTTTTTTTTCAAACCGCATAGTGCAAGGGACGTTTATTAAACATTTCATAAAGTTTCAATTAAACCAACGGATAAAATACGTTGAGGTGAACGGCACAATCATGCACGCCTTTAGTGAACTACGTTTACTTTTGTGTTGAGTCTTGCTAGCTAGAAGTTGTATAGAGTACAACTCGTGTCGTTCAGTATTTCTTGTGTTGTCGTGAAGATCCCCGATGTATTTGGCATCCGTTTTGAAAGGCGTTCTTCCGATATTAACACGTCAGATATATGTGACGTATGCTGTGACGGCTGTTCTGAGGATTTAATCACCTGTTGTAAATGATGTTCTAGAGCCTGTTTTTTTATTCTCAACATTTCCATTTCTATCTCATGTTTTTCTCTGGCCATTCTCATCTCTTCGACGTGTTTTTCTTTCTGTAGTCGAAGTTCTTGCACCTCGTATCTTCTTTTGGTGTTGATAAAACATTTCAGATTTTTAGTTCTTTTGTTTACATTTCGATTTAAACTTGGAACGGACGACATGGTGGTATTAGAGGGACTGAAAATAAAATGTAAATTAATTTTATACACTTTGTTTCTTGCCGTTCCTAAAACAAAATACAAAATAGCATTGAATAAAGCCGAAGAAACTTAGCACGTAGTAAATCATTAATATTTTAATGATTAATATGCAAATTCATTCTAGTTGCACCATACTAATCACCATCCGCTATAGGCTAGAAAAACTGCTTCTAAATGGTTCCAAGTCATTCTAGACTGTGCCAGAATGCATATTTTTCAACCAAAATTGAATTATTTTACATTTGTGAGATAAGTACAAAATGACTTCCGGTTTAAGGCTCAAAATATTCAAACAAATAGTTACTAGTTATATACTAGTAATTTAGCTAAAAATACACAAATATGAAAATGAGTGTAATCTATTGTTGCCAAACAGCTTTAAATTAAAAACAAAATGTAATCACAATTTTATCGCTTGCCATATTTTTAAAATATTTTTAGAACTTTAGTATTAACTAAACGGTAAAAATATTTGACGCCCCCCCCCCCCTCCCCTTCCACAAAGGTTTCTGACGTCATTTACTGACAACTCCAAAAACCTACAAAAGAGGCTAAATGAATTCATTTTGTAGCTCAAACTTTTTACTAATAAATGTTTTATTTACTTCCTTTGAAGCTAACGTTAAATAAAATATGGCTTCATTATTGTGTTTACTTTTAAGTTCAAATCCACATTTAATCATATCGAATAGAAAGATATATGATCATACCTCAGTTCTACGGTTTCTTTATGAATGTCTATGTCCTCTTGATATGGTCCTGTAAACAGAAACATTATTATTAAGTTTATTAAAAAAATCATGTACTACAATCTTTAATATTATTTATGCACATTGACATTTTCCTTTAGTCGAAGATGAAGAATTATCAAGGTAAACAAATACCTATACAGCTGTTGATTTCAGTCGTATCTTGCTTATCCTTTTGGTTGTCAAATTGTTCATCAGAGGACTGTGACGATGACCTAGAAATCTGAGGTTTACCCAATGTGTAGTACATAGAAGAAAATTGTTGAGTCTCGGCAGGGGACTGAACTCGAGGTTTTTTGGTAGGAGAAAAGTCACTGCTTGATTTATCCCGATCTATACCAGGATATGAATAAATACCTAAATAGCTGTTAATTTCAGTCTTATCTTGCTTATCCTTTGGGTTGTCAAATTGTTCTTCAGGGGATTGTAACGACGACCAGAGAATTTGAGTTTTATAATTTGTGTAACTCGGAGGAGAGACGGGAGAATGTGCTCGAGGTTTTTTGGTAGGAGAATAGTCAATACTTGATTTATTTCGATTTATATCGGTATGTGAGTAGAAAGGGTTATACGGTTCAAACAATCTACTAGGACGAAGGATGTTTTTTTGTCGGGTGAAAACTTTTGTATTATTAATCGTAGAATCAGGTTGACTTGTGTGTTGTAAGTCGTCATCTGTGACTGATAAATCACCTGTTACAAAAAAAAATTTAAATTTTTAAAATTAAAAACGGAAATTAAAAAAAATAAATTAAAATGATATTCTTAACAAAAGAGTGTTTTAGTTAAAACTAGGCCTGATTTTTCTACTCTTTATGTTTATTCTACAAGACTTCAAAAAAAAAAAAGCTTCAAAGCCTCTACATGTAGATCATCCTTAAGCACATACACAAGGCAATACAAATAATTAACGTTAACGCAGTTCTAATTATTTCGATTTTTTGTGTGAATACAACATGCATGTAAAATTTTAACCGCCGTATGTAGCAAGCGTAATTTAATATATGAATAGATGTGAGGTTCAGAAATGTGTACTTTGTGTACCTCGCTTGCTTGCCTCAAGGTGTAACTTACCTTTTGATTTAACTAAACGATGACGATTCTCCAATGTGTTGTATTCGTCTTCAAATGGTCTCGCTGCATTGTCAGAGTTGTAGTTACCTATAGGAGAATGGCTTCTTACATACTCATCACGGGATGGCATTAACACATAATTACTTTTCTCAATTTCAGACAGGTCTGATGATGATATTAGTGAATCTTCTTGTGAACAGATCGTCATGATACCGTATGGGGTTTTTTGTCGTCTTATTACATTACCAGCAGGGTACTTTACTTCAGACGAATACAACTGTTGATGTTTACTTCTAAGGTTTTTCAATTCGTCATTGTTGCGTTCAAAGGTGACCGTATCAGTGGAATTAACACTATTAAAATCGCTGTTTACTTGTCTGGGATGGACATCTACATCAGTAGACAGCACTTTTTCCGATTGAACATCATTGTGTTTTCCAATTTCTAGCTTGTACGGATTTTGACTTACGACCAGTTTATGTAGATTACTGAATTGTTTTTGATCGTGTACACGCATTTCCCGATCTTCTGCGACTCTGTTGCTGTTTGTTGGTTCCAGTTTAACATGGTCTGGTGATGAGGCTTTAAAAGTTGCTGGTGAGTAGTTTGTTGTTCTACTTGGGTCTTTCTTAGGATTGGGTTCTGGGAAATCTTTTTCTGATGAATATAAGAAAAAAAGATTGTTTAATCTTCTTTTTCGACAAACTCATTTTTGGGTGGTAGGGCGCCCGACTGCTTGCAAGAAGGTCTCGGGTGTGAGTATAGGTCTAGGGTCGAGACAATAGGACGTCGCTGAGTCAACCCAGCTCTGATGGGTTCCTGACTCACGTTAGGGAAAGTAAGGGTGGCTGGACATAGTGCGGACCACACCATCCGTTTTCAGATTAAGGTAAAATAAAACAAAAAAAATAGGACTTTACTCCATCTGCCTTATGGTATCTTTATAACTGAAGGGGGGAACTTCACTTTTTTATAATTAAATTAGTTACCTTAAATCCAAATGAAAATAATACTTTAACTCTGATACCGTTATAATAACATAATAATGTGATGCTATTTAAGAAGTATGGTATTTTCCTATTTGCGTTTATTCGTTTATTTTATAAACACATTTTACGTGTCAGTAGTTTTAAGACAAAAAATGATTTGAAAATTATAAAACAAGTACCTTCATCAGGAGTCCTGCTAGAGAAGTAATTAACTGAAACTTCTTCTTCAAGTAATTCATCAGTGATCTTAAGTTTGTCCTTGTTTCTATCGCTAGTATTATCATCCTCATCATCATTCCTTATTGGGTTGAAATCTTTAAACTCCTCTTGACAAATATCACACATGAGTTTCACTATGGCAATGTTATTGTGGGCCTCTCCACTGGTTTTAGAGTCATCTGGCTTTGTTAGATACTTCTTAACCTGACTCTTCAACCGCTGGTACTGTTCTTTAACGCAGTTGGTGCTGATATTTGCAAATCTTGGACATTTGCTTTTAAGCTCCGCGAGAATCTGATCCCATGCTTTGTTCCTTTGTTCTTTAGCATCTTTGTTTCGGTGCTTTGTTTCAATGATTTCCCTTTTCGTTTTTACCAACCGAAGGAGGATAGTTTTTTCACCATTCGTCCAGTTTTCTGTTCGTTTAGTGAATGATTTCGTGTCTTTGTTTCTTGAATTTGGTGATGCATTGGGTGGGCGTAGTGTTTCTTTTTCACTGGTTGTCTTACGTAACTTGCTGTCAATTTCATTAGAAAGTGGTGGGCTATCTGTTGTTTTCTCACCATTGGTGTCTGATGAAAAAAATTGGAATTTACTTTAGGTATCTTATACTTTAACACATAAGCTATATATATATATATCGATGGTCTCGGTCGCAAACCGTCTAACTCAAAAAAATTCAATTTTTTTTTTTTTTACATAAATCAAAAGCCAGTATGATTCCCCATAATGCCTGAAAATATTATAGAAATCTGTTGAATGATTATCGAGATATAATAATTTGAACAAACCGCCTATTATTTCTAGCGCTAAAAATCTCGGCGCAAAACGAATACCGCTATATTTGTCAGTACACTTTTGATCGGAAACGCAATCGCACGCTGCAATCGCACAATTTTACACCACAGCAGACAAATTACTTATTGGTAAGACTATTTTATTGATTATTTTCATCTATTATATCATATTTTATCATTAAAAAATAATAAACATAGGGTATTTATTTAAATTAGCCTATTTCCAGTAGATTTTCGAGAACCAAACTTATTTGTTTACATTTTTATTACGCTAACACAATGCTTTGAAACTAGATCTTCATTCTAGAATCTAAATCTATTGATCAATTAAAACAATATTATTTGAATTACATTTCCACAAGCTTGTGCAATAAATTAAATTATTGTTAATTCACTAATAGCTTTATATTGAGGGTTTAGCTACGTGTTAAGAAATGTTTATATAGTAGGTCACAAAATGTTTGGCGTAATGTTAAACGACATGGTGAGTTGTCTTTAGTAAATGCCTGTATGATAATTTTTAATATTAATGATCAAATATTGAGATGGCTATTCAGTTCAATAAATAATAAGCATGCTTCATTGTATAATGCATTAAAACATGAGCTTAGCAATTAGCTTACTACAGTGATGAGTATTACATGTTTAGATTCCAGATCAAAATTGAAATTATTTAATCACATGATATGCAATCGTATTGGATGCTACCATATAGAAGAATGAGAAGGCTATTTAAACTTAGATAGCAATCTCAAGCTGTCAAGTAAAAAAATGATGTAATTTTATTAGTCAAAAAAAAAGATTCCAGTCTGACTGACCAAAAAAAATTCAGTTTTATTTTTTCAAGATACCAGCCTCTCTCAACATACCAGCCTCTCTCAACATACCAGCCTCTCTCTCAACATACCAGCCTCTCTCAACAGATCAGCCTCTCTAAACAGACCAGCCTCTCTCAACATACCAGCCTCTCTCAACAGACCAGCTTCTCTCAACATACCAGCCTCTCTCGACATACCAGCCTCTCTCAACAGATCAGCCTCTCTCAACAAACCAGCTTCTCTCAACAGACCAGCCTCTCTCAACAGACCAGCCCCTCTCGACATACCAGCCTCTCTCAACAGATCAGCCTCTCTCAACAGACCAGTCTTACCATTTAAGACACCAGCCTCTCCCAACAGACCAGCCTCTCTCAACAAACAGCCTCTCACAACAGATCAGCCTCTCTCAACAGACCAGTCTTACCATACAAGACATCAGCATCTCTTAACACACCAGCCTTTCACAACATACCAGTCGTAACATACAAAAGACCAAACTATCTTACAATACAGGGCACAAGAATATCGCAAGAAACTAGTCTAACCCTCTTAGACACCAGCAACTCAACAGACCAGCCTCTCTCAAAAGACCATTCTTACCATACAAGAGACCAGTCTCTCTCAGCAGACCAGTCGTAATATACAAAAGACCAAAGACTCTTAACTGACCAATCTTACCCTCCAAAACACCAGCCTCTCTCAACAGACCAGCCTCTCTCAACAGACCATTCTTACCATACAAGAAACCAGCCTCTCTCAAAATATTAGTCTTAACATACAATAGACAATCCTCTCTCAGCACAGCAGTCTTACCATACAAGACACCAGCCTTTCTCTACAGACCAGCCTCACATAACAGACAATAGACACCAACCTCTCTCAAAATATTAGTCTTAACATACAATAGACAATCCTCTCTCAGCACACCAGTCTTACCATACAAGACACCAGCCTTTCTCAACAGACCAGCCTCACATAACAGACAATAGACACCAACCTCTCTCAAAAAGACCAGGCAGACGTATCAAGAATTCAATGCGACAAATATTCGTGCACTGCAGTACAACCCTGATGCTACTATCTACTTTAAAGTGAATTAGCAGATGGCTGGAAATTGCTAAGCTAGGGTCGTAAGATTATGATCTCATCTGTAGCCCCTGACAAGTTGTACAAGAGCAGAAAAAAAAGCTGTCATATTTGAGCACCTAAAGCTAGTCATAAATACACATTTTTATGATGATTTGCCTGATTTTTAAAATATGTTGCCATTTTAATGTTTCTTCATGTGACTTTTATTTAAAGAATAAATTTAAAAAATAAACACATTTTTTGTTATATTTTGTAAAATAAGTAAAAATTAAGTCAATGTTAATGTAATTATTGTGTTATGTCTCATTCATAATGTATCTGACAATAAGGTTGATATTTTTATTATTATGATTCTACAAACCCAGCACCCACCAGATTTAGTAAAATAAACAGTGAGAATAGAAATATGTAATAAATAAAGCATAACCTTCAACAGTTAATAAGTCTAGTGCTAAATACAGCCATAATGAATAAACAGTCAAAAAGCGATAAAGCCATACTAAAACATCTCTACTAAAATTAAACTGACCCCATAAAGTAGAATAAACTCAAATAATTAAAATATGAGCTCAAAACTATAATCAAAATATTATGAAGTGTTAATTATAACTTAAAAACATAAACATAACCAAATCACGTTCATTGGACAAAACGAACGAACGCGGCTGAGACCGAAATTCTCGGCTCAAAACGGCCAAGTCTGCGCGCGCACAGATAGACGGTTTGCACCGAGATGTTTAGATCGAGCAAACCGTCTATCTTTTAAAACCTGCTATAATTTTGTAAATATTAACAATACTCAATTTAAAACGCTACAGTATAGTCGCTAGAGAGTTTTTTCGCACATATCATTAAAAAAAATTTGTATTAGAGCGATCAACAAAGAAATAATCAGTTTTTTGTCTCTCCTGTAAAATTTACTTTTTCGGAGTTAGACGGTTTGCGACCGAGACCATCGATATATATATATATATATATATATATATATATATATATATATATATATATATATATATATATATATATATATATATATATATATATATATATATATATATATGTATATATATATATATATATATATATATATATATATATATATATATATATATATATATATATATATATATATATAATATATATATATACATGGTGACAGGACAAATGATCTCAGGACAAATGATCTCAGACAAAATATCTCAGACAAAATATCTCACGGACAAATGATCTCAGGACAAATGATCTCAGGACAAATAATCTCAAGGACAAATGATCTCACGGACAAAAGATACCTGGACAAAATATATCAGGACAAATAATCTCACGGACAATTGATCTCAGACAAAATATCTCAGACCTTAATTTTAAAAGTGTAGTTGATGATTTTAGTTGATCTGAAATATCTTTTTATTGATTGTCATATGGTTTTGTGTACTATGTTTTATATTGTTTATAGGCCTATATAATAATTTTAAGAAATGTTTGCCGTATAAATTTGTCATATTGCACTAAACTTTTTAAAGTTGGTATTAGTAATATAGTAAACGAAGATTAAAGAAATTGTTTCGATAGACAGCGTAGGTGGGCTTGCCAAACATGAGACAAACCTACCACGTCAGGTGGACGAAACTAGATCAAAGGGGATGAAATAACAATAAAGACACACCTTCGTATCAAGGTGGCCGCCCGCTTTGATGGCAGAGACATGCCTTAAGGGAAAAAAATCCGCTCTCCATGGACAATACAACTAGCATCAACAGTCAATAGTTATGCGGCAGTTACACCTTAGTGATCAGGTGACAAATGCTTATTCAAACGACAGCGGTCATCGCGGAGCTAAGTTTGTCGTAGTGTGCATCAAACATAGTAGTATTAGTGGTGATTACTCAGCTATGGCCTCTTTCGTTACCTCGCAGAAAGGTTTTAGGACATTAGTTTCTGGTGAATTTATGTTTGCCATAAGCAGGCAAAGAAATTTGGAAATGTGAAATTAGGACATGTCGAGCAAGAGTTCACACAATCGATGATCACATAGTATTGGAGAGGTGTGATCATATTGATGTACCTGCCAGCAAAGAAACGTAAACGTTATGTTTGTGTTGATAATGCAATAAAAACAATAGTTTAACGTTACGAACCTGAAGACCCATTCACATTTTTGAAAAATATTTCGCGTGTTTTGAACCTTAATGTTGTATAACTACCATTACTTTATTTGTTTTATACGTTATCATTTATTATACTTTTCAGACTAAAGGAGTGAGTTTGTTAACATTTTTACTTTTTCGAATCAAATGCTACTACAAAGTTTAATACATCTTTTGATGGTTTTTTAGGTTTAACAAATTAATTTTTTTCACAATTATTATGAGTAAAAAAGTAAACACAACCATATTAATTACAGTCAATAAAAAAAGTTCAAATCAACTAAAATCATCGTACATACAATTAAAATTTCGCTGTGAGATTTTTTTTTTCTGAGATATTTTGTCTGAGATCATTTGTCCATGGTATCATTTGCCCTGAGATTATTTGTCTTGAGATCAATTGTCCGTGAGATATTTCGTCTGAGATATTTTGTCTGAGATATTTTGTCTGAGATATTTTGTCTGAGATCATTTGTCCGTGAGATCAGTTGTCATGGAACCATACACATACATATCAAATACAATTTATTTTCTTACAGGTAGTATTAGATTTATTAAATGTATTCACTAACTTGTATATAAATATAGTATAATACTTTAATATTATGTGAATTCAAAGACAAATAACTATTTTTAATCTAATTACAAACATGTTACACGCATTTAATGCAAAAGTTTACAATACGATTAGTAGTGCTAAAGCAAAATTTAAAAACAATAGATCTACATTTAACTTTAACGAAAAGATGTATCGTGATGATAAAGTTAAAACTAAACTAAATACATATACCTGCATTTCACATTTTTAAAAAAAAACGAAGTATATCAGCATATAGGCTACTTCGGGAGACACTGTTTAATCTATAAACAAACAATCATTTTGATATCTAACTTAGTACTAAGCTAAAACAACTGAAAGAACAGACCATAATGGTCACAACATGGACTAGAGTAAAGTTTAGGCAAACCTGTAGAATCTTTTGTATATGGTGAACTTGGTCCGATTTCTGTTTTAATTCTGTGTAGATGAAAGTTGATTTGTATTGCACGATATATTACAGATAATCTATTCAGGCATATCCATATTTTTAAAAATTGTACACTTAATTTCCAAAAGGTAAACAAACACAAACCAAGTTACATACAAACATTCACACACAGACACAAATAATCACACAACAAACACCATACACCACACACACACTTATATATCCCTTTATTTACGGAATTAGGTTCCGAATGACATTTTTTCTTAAACAATGTGTTATCATATTGCTTTTGGCACATTTAAAGCATATGTCGAAGGAAATTTTGTTTCATAAATTTTTAAGGGCCCAAACATTTATTGGTACTTATAAGTACCGTCAGGAATGTAGGACATTTTTTCCAAAAATTAAAAAATTTACAAAACAGGAAAAAACGATACAACTTATTAACTAATAACATGGTAATCATTATAACAATCATTTTTTGTAATTTTCACACATAAACCCAGCACAAAAGTATATTTTGAGTAGGATTTTTACTGGATTTTCTATGGAAACATATCTTAGACCTCAAACACAGCAAAAGGTGCCGACATGTCATGCTCCCTCATTCCTAATTCCTGATACATTCTGGTCTGTCGTCTTTTTGGTGTGGCAACAGTTGCCGGACTGAACCTGCTTTTGCTGGAGGCTTCCAATAGCCATTACAATGAGCCGCATAAACAAATATTTTGAAAACGAAAGCCTAGTCATTCAGTACAATACTACTAGTAATGCTAGTATAATTGTAGCCTACTAAAATGTTATGACAAGTGTACACTACATTGTAAAGTTCATATATAGAAGTGAGCTCAATGTGTTTGGAATAGCGTAGTGGCCTACTGTTTTGTGTTTACTGATTCAAAATTACAAAACGATTTATACTACATGCAGATGTATGGACTATTACTAGTCTTCATGTATACATTACGTACATGCTAGCTATTGTAGGCAAGACAGTTTCTTCAACAAATATAACTTACAAATCTTACTTCTAGAACTAGACTTTGGTATACAAATAACGTATACTCAACCTATTAAACGAGCCTGCAACTGCCACCTCTATTCTTGTTTTTCTTTTACTACTAGAAATCTGCAATTAATTACAATATTTCTGAGGAAAACCCTATGCTAACCTTCTTATAAATGCATAAATATATATTTTTTTAAATACATTTCTATAATTAATTATCAAAATAATATTTATGTCACTCCAAATCGAAAATCTCCAATTTCCAAGAAATCCTAAAAAAAATGTCCGTGTTTCCTGACGGTACTTATAAGTCCACTTGTAAACATCGATCTATTACAAAGACAATTTGATAAAAATTCTAAAACTAGAAGCTAAATACATTGACCTGACTATTAAGGATGCCAATAAAAAATATTCGGTGTTGAAAACTTAAAGAATAAGGTAAAACAAAGGGAAATCAGGAGCACGTGTGAGATATGTACAGAACGATTGTGAACTACCGATACAGGTAGAGATTGACAGTGGCGCCACACCAGAAATTTTCAAAAAACATCGATCCCTCCACCTACCTGTGACTCAAGGGAGATAATACTATCAATTACATCAATAATTTAAAAAATTCGTCTTAAATTAAAAATAGTACAGGCACTTAATTAAAGTGGTACTTATAAGTACCGTCAGTAGATAAAGGGATATATATATATATATATATATATATATATATATATATATATATATATATATATGTATATATATACATATATATACACACACACACACACACATATATATATATTAAATAGCTATTATTTATATGGTTTTCAAAACGTACTTATCAGATAGGTGTGCCTGTCTCATTTTAATTGGACTCATGTGCTCCAACAAATCAGGAGGGGTACGTTTAGAAAAATGGTGGGATGAGACTGTCTACATTTGTCCTGTTGGATGGTAGTAGGTTAACATAATTTTAATAATTTTGTAGAGAAGCATAGAAAAATCATGAGGCATTTTATATATATATATATATATATATATATATATATATATATATATATATATATACATTAACTTTGTCTATCTTAATGTACTTAAATGTAGATTTAAAGTTTAAACAAAAGTATACGTTTTATAAGTTACAAACTTGGATAATATCTATTTTATTGTTTTGAAAAATAAATATAACTGATTGGTTTAAACTTGACTTTTATTATTGTAATTAATATGTTAGAATTATAAGTTCTACTAGTAGTCTGTTTACTAGTAGCTTGTTTACTTTACTAACAGCCTATTTTCCGGTAGCCTACTTACTATAAGTATTGAAACAAAATGGCGGTTGGCGAAATCATTTTGGAAATTCCCGTTTATGTTAGGGGGGAAAACCAAAAATACTATGCCTGGGCCAAGCTATAAAAAGATATGTGTTTATAATTTTATGTAACCTAACTAATGTTTAATCAAACACAGGCGGAAGACTAAAGATATATATATATATATATATATATATATATATATATATATATATATATATATATATATATATATATATATATATATATATATATATATATATATATATATATATATATCATATACATAACTATGTAGGCCTATACATTAATGTATTAATGTACAGTTTAATTTAGTCATGTACTGGTGTGTACGCCGCTAGTAAGGAAAGTTCTCCTTCCAAACCTGATGGGTAAGTGAAGTAGAGTTCACCTCTTTCTGTGACCACGGCATATGAAGAGATATGCCCAACCCTCTTTCATTTCCCTAACGTGTTACGTACCCGGATTTGAACTCGAAATTACGGGTAAGCAGCCTAGCTCTCTACCGCTAGGTCACTCCGTTCCATGAAGATGGCAGTTTGATCTAATTAATAAAATCTTCGAAACATTCATTAATTCATCTCAATCTAATTAACCAGAATGAGTTAATCATTGTTAGACATTATAAGTGAAGGTTTAAACTACTCATAGACTACCATGCTCAACATTTAAAAATAATATTAAATAGCCTACAACTATTCAGACGTCGTAGCTTAAATATTATTTTAACAATATTAGAGTTGTTAGCCTTATCTTTTAAAACGATAGCATTGAGAACATGCTACATGTATAAAAAAAACCCCACAAACATTTGAGTTATTGATCAAAACCGATGCTTCAAATATCTAATAACCGAAGCAATTTTCTAGGTGAGTCATACTCTGTTGGGTGGAGGATAATATATTCAGGCTAATGTGTGCAGCTCAAGGCTTTTAGAAATTTAAAAAGCTGGGGTTTAAATACAACGTGCGGTTAAAATTATTGAATTGTATTTGAAAGTAATAGTTCCTTTTTCGGGCCTTATGTTTTATGAGACAGAAGAAGACGAGTTCATCTATTTTTGTGACCTCGGAATATGAAGGGATAGTGCGGATGAGCACTTTGATAAGTCGCCTTTACTTTCTCTAACTTGAGTTAGGTACCCATTACAGCTGGGTGGACTATGTGACGTTTTTAATGATTTGAACCAGGATTCAAACTCGAGACCATCGTGTTAGCAGTCTAGCACTCTACATCTAGACCTCGCTGACCCACACATATATAGAAAACGATATAAAAACTTTTTTTGTCTAAATTTGTAGTGGTTAAAAAAATATAAAATGACATATTGCAGGATTTTTAGTGGTATCACATATTAAGCAAATTTTTTATGTTAAACATACCAGACTTTACACCAGTGGTTCTTAACCTGGGTTCGATAGAACCCTAGGGTTTCGGTGGACATCAACAAACACACCTGTCTTATGATTTACGATCGGAATTTGTCATTGCGGACTACAGAAATATCACGAAGGGTACGGCGAATGCGCAAATGTAACCAATGGAGTTCGGTACCTCCAAAAAAAAAGTTAAGAACCACTGCTTTACACCCATGTATTTCTAAACCTCTTGTATCAAGCATTCTCCAGTTTCTCAACTTGAGTCGGGTACAAACCATTTGAAGCCGTCATAACTTGAGCACAATGAGAATTATTTATAACTTCAGCTCTCGTGACTGCTTGAGTTATCGCGAGTCGTAGACATACCACAATGAGCTTGGTGTTTCTGACAGCCTAGTTAAAACGTCGGAAATTCCTTCAGCACCAGAGAGTTCGATCAATAGATTGTCTACAACAGGGGTCTTCAATTTTTTCAGTCCGAGAGCCGCATTAACTATCAAATTTCAGTTCGGGGGCCAGTTTCTTCCAGGCATGTCTTTGATTTTTCTAGGCAAAGTTCCTCAGCCATCACCAACAAGCGATTTTTCCTTGGACAAAAAGATATCCGCGGGCTGGATGAGAGGACTTCGCGGGCCGTATTCTGCCCGCGGGCCGTAGTTTGGAGACCCCTGGTCTACAATATGCAGATTTAGTATTTCTGTTACAGCTAACTACTTGACACATCAGCTCATGCATCGCTTCTCTACGTAGGCAGTGCTTGTTTGTGTTATCGATCTATTGAATATATTGTTATTCATATATGCTGTTGTATGTTAAATTAGAGATACGTTATTGGGAATAGATTATTGTATGTGGTTTATGCTACCATAGTGATGGTTTCAAACATATCAACAGTGATTTAGGTAGACGTGAGTGTAGATGATTTTGTTGAGTGAATACTACTAACGTGCTCTGATATACAGTTTTGCTATTTATAAAGTTGTAAATGTAAATGGGAGTTGATTAATTAAGGAATGTTGAAACTACAACAGTGATACAGACTGCGTTTTTGTTCGAAAAACTCAAAGGGTTATTTGTTTGTGAGCTCAAAACTGATGGAAATATTTTTCGCTACAAGTTGTGAATTTCGGATATCAGAATCGTCACAATGAGTTTGTATTACTGGCAGCTTGTGTTGATTTTAGGTAAGTTTCGAAACTATTTTAGAACTAAGATTTGCCGCTTTAGTTGTTTTTACATTCCTTGGGTAGGGTGAAAATGGTTAAAAAGCGAAAAAAAAAAAACAAATAGAAAAATGTGTATAATTACGAGCAAAGAAAATTCAATGAAAATAAGAATAGTAAACATGTTTTCTTTATTTAATGAAATAATTGGTTGCTGTTGAAATGCCAAAACACACACAATTGCTGACAACACACCATACATACACACACATACACACCACACACACATACATATATATATATATATATATATATATATATATATATATATATATATATATATATATATATATATATATATATATATATATATATATATATATATATATATATATATATATATATGTTAGAATATACTATTACCCTTTCTTTCTCAAGGTCCTGCTCTTGTGTGTGTGACTTGGGCACAGTTACTCGACCCTGCAAGTGAGTTTCATTTTTAAGGCCCTAATCTAAATATGCCATAGCTCCATGAAATCGAGCACGACGTCCCAATTCTTATTATAACCATCATGAATATTTTAATGATAAAAAAGGCAAATTTTAGTTTCCTTGCAAATATCAGAATCACAGTCCATGTCTTCGGGATATTGGTCAGCACAAAGTCTAATCGACTTTAATTTCCCTAACTGTAGCCAGAGTTTCTTCCAGGTATCTATTCTTGAATAAAGTCTACGCCCCCCCCCCCCCCCAACGAAATGGAATTTATATAGAAACGATATACTTTTAACACTGACCGCCCCCTCGCGGAAATTTTAGTCCGCCCACCCGAAAATTTCAGGTGCACCCTCGGAGAAAAAAGTCTGGAAGAAACACTGACTGTAGCTAAGACACAGTAGATCTACATGAACTCGGGAAAATTAACCAAATTTGATTTCCGATTTCGAGAAAGCAATCCTTCCTCTTCTTCGTTCTAAGTTTAGTCTTGGAGAGGATTTCTTCCAACTTAATTAAATATACGTCTCAACTTGTTATGCGCCATTTAGATCGTTGACTCCAATTTCAAACTATTCTTTTTGGATTTGCTTCCACAGCTTTTTTTTGACTAGTCTCTTCCTAAATAGATCAGTTAGGTTATTGGCAGAATTATGATTAGAATATACTCTTACTCTTATACTAAAACTAGTATATTCTAATTGCGAGTTAAGGGTAGGGGTATAATCAGGATTTTGTTAGTTTTTTTTTTCTTAATAATAAGGTTAGTTTTCAAAGATATTTGTATTAGTTTATTTGTTAACATTTAGTAACAAAAAAATCTTTTATTTGAAACAGTTATAAGACATTGGTTAGTATTATCCAAAGTTTGTTATACGATGTGGTTAATCTTATTTCCTCTCATTTTATAGTCACAGTAGGCAGCTTAGCCAACACACGTAAGTTATAATTGTGTTTGTTGTCTTCGTAACTGTTACATAGAGTAAGTTTTCACATGTGTTTTTATCGGTCTTCGACGATGGCAAATAAAGTAAACTTTTTTTTAAACATAAAAATAATAAAGAATTCATCAAACGATTGCTAAATTGGGGAAATACAAACATGAATTGTATTATAAACCTGCGCATGCATGCAAGCAGTAATTCACGAACCCAAACAGGTATGCACGCTCGCATGCACGCACACAAACCACACACCCAATGTGCTCTTTGAAATATATATCATAGTACATTATGCTGGGTAAAGGATGTCTTTTGTTGGGTCGTCCGTATATACATGTATATATATGTATGCATATATATATATATATATATATATATATATATATATATATATATATATATATATATATGTATATATATATATATATATAAATATGTATAAACATATATATATATATATATATATATATATATATATATATATATATATATATATATATATATATAATGTTTATATATATATATATAAATAAATATATGTATACATATTTATAAATAAATATATCTAAAGATGTATATATATATATCTATACATACATACATACATACATACACACACACACACACACATATATATATATATATATATATATATATATATATATATATATTTATATATATATATATATATGTATATATATATATATATATGTATGTATATATATGTATGGTGACGGGAAAATGATCTCTGTGAGATATTTTGTCTGAGATTATTTGTCCATGATATCATTAGTGCCTGAGATCATTTGTCATGTAACCACTATATGTATATATATATATATATATATATATATATATATATATATATATATATATATATATATATATATATATATATATATATAAATTATGGACGTAAAGCAAACTTTTGAGCGTATAAATGGCTTTAATACAACGTCAAACAACACCCCCTTCCCTGCCTATGCCAAGAAAAAAAGTTGTATATCAGCCACCACACCGTTATCTCCAACAATAACTCACTTAACATCAAATTATATTCTGTTTATTGTCTCAGAGGTTGAAGTCCTGTCCAACGGCTCCGTAGCGAACGTCGGCGTGTCTCTCCTCAACTCCTCCTCCTCCACAATCAGCATCTTGCCTGTAGCTGCCGACCCCTCGAGCTTATCCACGACCCCGTCATTGTTTGAAGAACTCAACAGCACTGAACCTACGCCTGACAACTATACAGCCATTGGATGCTTTAACTCGACCACAAACGAGACGTATTATGAGAACTGTACAAGCGGGGATAACTCTACGACGACTTCCTCTCCTTCAAGCGGTGGGGGCTCTGGTTCAGGTAGCCCGAGCGGAAGTTCTGGCTCTGGCACTTCCGGTTCCACCTCCAACAATCCACCAAGTTCGCCTTCCGGGTCATCTCAGAACACGTCGTCTCAAACTTCGAACACGACGTCTCAATCTTCGAACCCCACGAGTATGACTTCAGACACGTCAACTCTAACTTCGAACTCTGGGAACGTGGATACTACAAGCGTTGCCCCAACAAAATCAACCACAACAACTACGACTACAACTACAACTACAACCACGACCACAACAGCAACGCCTGCACCTACACCTGCTCCAACAACATCTACATTAACACCATCAACAACCACTCCAACAACTGCTCCGACATACACGCAAGCTTCCCCAACAATCACGACAACCCAGCCTCCTACCAATTTACAACCCACCACCTCCACGACCACCATTTCTAAACCACCAAACTACATCTACTTCCCACTAATCCCGCACACCCAAAAAGACGCATCCATCCACCCAAAATCAACAATCAAAACCAATTTGATCATAACAGGCTCAGAAAACACCAACACCATCGTTAGCATTGTGTACCCTAGCAACCCAGCTAAAAATGTAAGTGTTATCCTTGAACCGAAGAAAAAGTATGTCTACAGCTTCAGTAACACAACTTTCCTATCGGAAGGTATTGGAGGCTCCGGGTTTTACATCAACGCAACAGGATACATCCATATCATAATGTACAGCAAAATTGAATACTTTGACGGTAAGTTATTAATCTGTCAACTTTCACGTGTTATATTCAGTTTATTTTATGGTTAAGTAGATAAATGGGACTCTGGATCGTATATTGACTTCAGTAGCGTAGCGAGAGGGTGCGGGGGGGGGGGGGGGGGGGAAATATGTCCCCGGGCGCCGACCTTAGGGGGCGCCAAAATGGATTGGAAATATAAATTGAAAGGTTGAGGGGGGGTGCAAATCGAATGTTTGAGGGGGAGGGGGTGCGAATCGAAAGTTTGAGAGGAGGGGGGGGTGGAAATCGAAATCTGGGGGGGGGGGTGCAAATCGAAAGCTTGAGGGATGGGGGTGCAAATCAAAATCTTGTGGGGGCGGTGCAAAACGAAAAGTTTGTCCCCGGGCGCCGTGAAGGGGTCGCTACGCCTCTGATTGACTTTGATAAGGCCCGAATATATTTTAGATATGGTCCATTCATTAGCCCAGATATTTTATGGTAAAATAGGTACGACACACCCAAGGCTGGATTTATAAATAATAAGGCCCTAAGATATTTTATATATGGGGCCCATCATAAGCCCAGATATTCTATGTTAACGAAGCTGTTTTCATAGGAGTAATTAGCAAAGCAGTATATGATTGTATAACTTCTGCCTATTCAAAAAAAAAAATTGGAGGAGGGGGCTTCAAAAAAGTAGAGACGCTAAGCTATAGATTTTTAGCTTTTTCGTTATTCCGGCACAGATAGCATTGTTGTTATCCTAATAGATAAAAAGCATTGTCTGTGGGTTTTTTTGAGGGAATAGGCAAGAAGGGCAAGGGTTTCAAAATTTGTGTTACTGCTTTGTTACTGTCATTTAGACATTGTTTGAATACCATCCCTATTATATCCAGTTTTAAGAACTGCTGTTATTCAATGAACAATATTAGCCAGTATCTAACGCTAAAATTATCGAAAAATGTGCTTTATCACAATTCTATTTGTATGTTATATATAAAGGTATTTGTTCTAGAAGTATGTATTTAGCCTAAAGCAAAAGAAGGCTAATGTAATGTTTTTCATAATTCCTTACTTTTTGCACTCAAGATAACTAGGTACATACTAGACCCAACCATCCTCGAAAATTTAATCAATAGACACGTACGTGACAACACTATTTACCAAGTCTTTTAAATCAAAATAAATCACCATCGATTTTCAAAGCGCCGGCTGCTTATAAAAGAAACACACCTTATTGAATACGAAACCAAAAAAAAATCACCAGTAATTTATAATGCAGGTTAACAGTTTTATTATATTGACAATAGCAAAGATAATCGATTGCGACTAATTAAACACATAGTGGTTTAACATACAGAGAGTATTTAGGTGTAAGTAAAGGTTGTGGGTTTGGTGTAGATTGGGGTTATGATAAGGTGCATGATTACATTGTGAGATAAGACCAGGAATCGGACTCAACATAAAATATGACAAGTTCTGATTGGGAATAGAACTAATTAGACTAAATTGCATATACGGTAGTCAAAGATACAAATGCTCTCCAAATGGTTGGGGTTATTGAAACTGAGGTAATTCTCTTTTCCAATCAGCCTACCCCCCTCCACCCCCCACCCCACCCCACACACATCTAACCAGCAACCCGCTCTCTTCCAGCTTCAGGAGCCGTACAGATCCAAAGCTTATCAGCTGCGAGCGTCTACTCCCAAGCCATGCTGCAGCGAGAGTACCTGCTCGTTACTTATTCAACAGCTGTAAACAAAACCTTCGCCAGGCTTTACATCGTCTCATCCGAGAACAACAATATGGTTCAGATCACGTGAGAGATTTGCACGCATTGATTGGTTCTTTCTAGTCTGTTCTTCGTTTTGTTTTTAAAATACGTTAATTTTACGTTACAATATTGATTGGTTCATTAGTCTTTTCTTCGTATGGTCTTTTAAAATGCGTGTTAATTTTACGGTACAACATTGATTTGATCTTTTTAAGTCTGTTCTGCTTTTGGTTTTTAAAATACGTGTTAATTTCACCGCACAGCATTGATTGTTTTTATTTTATAAAGTCTGTTGTTCGTTTGGGTTTTTAAATATCTACCTATATAAGGCCAGAGTGTCATACTGTAAAAGCCAATTTGAACATACGTATGGGCCAGGGCAAAGGTCAGCAGTCTCGAGCCTGCTTCGCTTTAAAATAAAGATGGCAATCCATTGTTTTTATTTTTGTCACCTGCAATTCATTATTTGCTATCGGGTTTAGCTTTAATTAAACGATATAACTGTTTGTTGTTTCTATAAAGTCCCAATACTACTATCAGTTATTTAATTCCAGAAAATAAAAGATAAAAAGTCTTAAAGCATTTGTAAGATCTGTGTTAGGTCGATTCTAGATTTAAGATTCTAGATTTAAGATTCTAGATTTAACTAATTGAGTTTTTTAGATAAATATTTTACATCAATCTTAGTTTCGTAACATTGTAATAGATTATGATATAGTTTTACTAAACTTAACCCAGGAGTAGGTTAAATTAGGATATCATCTAAATGAAACAAGATTTTGAGTAATAACTAAAATAATACAAAATATTATCACTAATAGGGTTTGTAAGTAGGTCAACAACCAGTTCTATGGCTCATGCAGGTTTAATTGAGCCGTAGAACTTGTTGGTAACCTACTTATAAACCCTATTGATAGGAGAGTTTCCTGTCAAAATGATAGAGCAATCATTGCTAATCTTTGACAATTAATTTAATAATTTATTTCTTTGCTGGTCATTCGAGGTTCGCGCTTAAAAGTATCCGCCAAATAATTATTATGACTCTGATTCAGGTGAAGTGAATCACTAGTTTTATTTTGTGCTACCGCCACCCGTGCTCAGCGCATCACTGGCGCTCTGCCAATATACATGTTAATTTTACCGCAAAATATTGATTTTTTTTTTCAAGTCTGTTCTTTATTGGTTTCAAAATACGTGTTAATTTCTGCATTTACAAAATTGATTTGTTAATATTTAAATTTAACAGCACACCATGGATTTGATCACCCTGTCAATTTATTTGAAGTTTTTGAAACACATATGATAATTAAACCTTAATTTAGACTTGTTTTGTCATTAGGGTTTAGAATTAGGGTTTCATATTTTTTCAAACAAAAATGATATTATCATCACACGTATGAACTCTTGGTAAATAATATATATATGCACAACCCGTTGATATATATGAAATACATGATCTATTAGATAATTTGCATATGAACTAACCCATGTCATATAATATTTCTGCAACTCTTTATTATATTAATTGTGACATCCATTGTAACATAATATATGCACGTTCCCTTGTTATATAATATATGCACCGTTTGATTGTTATAATATAATATAAACCCTATTTCATTGTTATATAATAAATACACAATCTATTGTTATACACGTCTGATCCCCTGTCTCTAAATATATGCGCGATCCCATGTTATATAGTGTATTCGCGACCCCATTTTATCTAATAAACGCACATTACGTTAAATAATATGCGCGATCCTTTGTTATATAATATATGCACCAATACCTTTGTTATAAAATATATGCACGATCCATGAGATATGTATGCTTAATATTTTTTTCATGCTTGTAAAACTTTACCGAAGAAAACTTTCCTTTGTTGAAATTTTACTCCTGGCAATATCATTTAGGTGGGGAAGTAGCGCTACTCAAGATCTTTTTCAACTGGTCAAATAGCGGTGAATTCAATATCGGCCTTCATTACTTATTGAAACTTCTCTGTGTTATAATTCAAACAAGGCTATGCATGAGCGTGAGAAAGAGAGTTGGTTTTATGTTTGGTGTTGTTAGGTTATGTGCCTTCTCTTTGCATGCGCTAAAAAGGGATGTAACTCCGTTGTTTTGTTTGGTAGATTTTTGTTTTCTATGTAAGGGATAGGCTAGTGCAGCTGGGTGAGGAAAATGGGAATATTTAGTTAAGGATAAATATTATGGGAGATAACCAAGTTTAGACTAAATATAGTTAGGTAAACAGTGTCTAAATGTTAAACGAAGGTAAACTGTAGGCTAGATTTTTTAGAAGCAGTAGGATGGAAGATGGGTGGGGGCTTAAGACAGGAGAATAGGGCAAATTAGTGGCACATATTTTGTGTTGTGTGTCATATTTTATATAGTGTGTCAAAACAATTCTTATGCTGTATCATTCATTTTATGTTTAGTCACACTTTTATGTTTTATGTCACATATATTTTCTCTCACATTTTATGTAGTGTCACACATTTTACGCTTTTTGCCACGCATTTAATCTTGTTTAACACACTTTATGTGTTGTGTCACATATTTTATGTGTTAATGGCACTCACCAAATGTGTTAGGTTTTTTCTAGAGACGTTTCGGGTTAATTTCTCACCTCTACGTAACTTCACAACTAAGCCTGAGCACCTAGAAACTTTACTAATATAAAATTTTAATGCGATGCAAGAGTTGAATAATTAAGTATATACATTTGTAAAATGCAAGTAAATATGTCATTCATTACCATTGAAACCTGTTTATATTATTTCACTCCTGACTCGATTAGAATTCATTGTATGAGAGAAGGAATGAAGGAAAAAAAAAAACCCACAACATATTAGTGGCACATACTATATAACATAACGTAAAAAAAGATGGGGATGGGGTTTATTTGAAAGGATCGGATTACTTAAACAGTACTAATTACAAAATTGAAAATAAAATCGTCACATTATTTACCAATGCATAGCGTTATAAATTCAAAGTTAATACAAAACCTACAACAACTTAGGCCTATTACACTAAACCATATTTACCTTTTTATTTGCGAAGTAGGGATCGGCGTGGTCGAGTCGGTAAAGCTCATGGTTGCTAAACCGAAAAGTCTCGAGTTCGAACCCTCGGGCAGATGAGGCTCGTTAGCTGGGGACAGCCACTCTTCTAGGAGAGACAACTCCAAAATTAAACAACTGCTGCCTTGTAGTTTGTTCTTGGTTGGACAAAGGCTATGGAAGCAAATCCAAAAAGAAAAGCAGGCTGAAATCGGAGTCAATGGCCTCAATGGCGCATAACCAGTTGACACGTAACGCTTAATTGTGTTGGAGGCGTGGTCGAGTCGGCAAAATAAAAAAAAAAAGCTCATGTTCAAACTCAAAGTCTCGAGTTCAAACCCACTGGCAGATAAATCTCGATCCCCTTCAACACTAATAATTAAGAACGAAGAAGAAGAAAAGAAGATTTGCGAAGTGTCAATGAATGTTTACTACAAACGTTTACCAATTGTATGTATTAATATATATATATATATATATATATATATATATATATATATATATATATATATATATATATATATTCGTGTGATTGTGTTTTATTGATAATACAACATTACGTAAAATGTTAAGAACAAATACAATATAATATTTAAAACAAGTAAAAAAACGAAATCTCCATTTCGGTTCTCGTGACGTTGAAGATTCTCCAAGTACGTCACCACGCCACCCATCGCTTTCAACATCGACGGTGCCAGACTCGTCTCCCCTGCCGTGGTGAACGTGACCTTGAACTTTACCTGGAGCTACTTCCTGGAGAGCGAGGGCGACCTGACCGGGACGCGCGTGACGTCACAGCACGCCATCGCTGTCTTTGTGGGCATGATGGACGTAAGATTGGTTTGAATTGCTCTTTTGTTGTTTTAAAAAGATCGAGTTAGTTGTTTTAGACATTTATTATTTACCTCTCACACATAAATAATTTGACCCAGTGAGCTTACGAAGGGGGGGGGGGGGGGAATCATCCATCAATGACGTCACCATTGTTTCTTCCAGATTTTTTTCGCGCCGGAGGGGGGGCACTTGAAATTTTCGGAGGGGGGGGGGCGGTAGACTTTCTTCGGGGGTGGGGGGCGGCGGACACTGTTAAAAGTATATATTTTCTATATAAATTATAGAATAGATGCCTGGACGAAACTCTGGACGTCACACTACTGGGAGGTGTCTTTTAACATTAGTCAATATGTCGAAATAGCTAAAGGTGGGGGCGAGGGGTTAAAATACAATATGTAAGAGAATACAAAGTTAACTGAGCTTGTTTATTTTTGGTTAGAGTTATGGACATAGAGGAAGGAGGGGGGGGGATGGGTGGAGACGTTTTTAGAGTAAAGGTATTTCTATTTCACAGATATGAAGAAATTCGAAATTCGTAGTGTTTGTGGTGTGTTATGATTGGTTCATGTCAATTATCAACTATATATATATATATATATATATATATATATATATATATATATATATATATATATATATATATATATATATATATATATAAATCTATGTAGGTATGTGCGTGTATATATATACCTATATATATATACACACACACACACACACATATATATATATATATATATATATATATATATATATATATATATATATATATATATTGGGAAAGAGAGAGATATACATCTGTAACTAATTTTGATTACCAGTGTATTTGTATGCTTCTTAACACCCACCCACCATAACATCAATGTTCAAACAAACCGATGATTCACCCCTGTGCAGGTCAATGGAAGTCTGGCATTTGAGCAAATGCTGCCAGTGATGAATACGTCCGCCTTGTGGTCAGTCTGGTCAAACGACACGACTGGTCAGTCGGTGGCTGAGTACAAGGTGGCCACGAACATGGACACCGTCGAGTTGAAGGTGAGGGACGGGTGGTCATTTTTAAAGGGATATTTCCTGGAGTAAGAGACTACATACTAAGATACAGATCACGTTTGGGTATTAATAAAGAACTAGAATTTCATATTCAGTATTTGCTAGTATGTATTTGAGATTGTGTTTCATTGTAATTGTTTGTCTATACTATTGTGGGATGGTGCAGTCGAATGGTACACCATACGTTTGCTGACCCAAATGATTTGAGTTCGAATGGGGGTATAAGTCGGTGGAACGTCACTGAATCAACCCAACTCTGATGGGTACCTAACTCACGTTGTTGAAAGTAAAGATGACTCGGCATAGTGCTCATATCACTGTCCCTTTATATGTCGATGTCTACAGAAACATGGGGACTCTACTAAACCCGTAGACCGTCAGGTTTGAAAGAGGACTTTCATGTATTATACTACTGATATACTATTGATACCACTGGTACAGATTGATTTATAAAAAATAAAGAATTTAGAATAATTATATAAAAGAAAATAGTGATAATTAAAATATTCATTATTGTTATTCTTTTTAACTTGGTTACTTTTTATTAGCTTTTATTTAACTTGATTCCTAGTTCGTGGTTTTGTTGTTCTACTTACTTCGTTAAAGATCAAAAATTGCGAGCGAAATAAATAGCACTTTTAACGGACAGATTTTTTTTAAACTTGTCACGTAGGTTACCATTCGATGACAATGCAGTTCGACATTAAATTTAACTTATTCGATTTGTATTTTGTCCATCACGATAACGAACACTTTTATCGAACCGATTTCGTTCCGTCACAAAAAACAGCAACTTTCATGACGATGCAATTCGACATAAAATTTGACTTAATACCGTGTATCTTTTGTCCCTACACAGATAGGCTCGAACGTAAACAGCAGTTTTCTGGACCACGCAGGGGACGCCATCCAGTGCTCCCCACCCAACCACACCATAGTCACCTCCACCAAGCCGACGACTGGATTCAAGTTTATCCACACACCCGGCTCGGGGAGAAACGGATCTATCGAGTGCCACACTCCCATCTTACATCCGGCGCTGTGGCGGTCCCGATACGTTTGGGGAATCCCCGACGATTATTTTTCTTCGATGACTGATCTGTACATAGCCGTAGTCATCAAAACTGTGAGTTTGTTTATGTAGGTGATGGTTAGGATCTCGGACCTGAAGATCTATAGGGTAGGTGAAGTAGAGTTCATCAGATTTGTGTGACCTCATCATGTAATCGGATAATGTGATTAGTAATATGCACAGCTGCTTGTACTTCCAAATGGGAATGAACCTTAGAATTTCCGCATAGCAGTCGAGCGTTCTATCACACAGCCACGCCATTCCATGTAATGAATCTCGAACACTATTCTACGCTTAGGCATCATGCACTTATTTTATACTATGTTATGCTAAGCGTGCATGTTACGGTATGCGCACATGTGATGATTTCTTAAGCAGATATGTTATATTTTGCAAACTTTTATCGACATATTGTATTTTATGCAATTCACACGTTATGCTTCTGGACATATGATATGTTATATTTTGTTATAAACACGTGTCACTTGTCATGTAACGGATACATGTCATGTTACGCTCAGATGTCATTCTATGCACGCATGCCATGTTATGAGCACATGTCATCTTAAACACACACGGTGTAGAGCAATCGTTTAAACTACTGGCTTAAATATCCTATGTTATTGATTTGATCGATGTCTGCCATCTACACGTTAATTAAATACATCGATTTTACAGTCGTGTCGCAGGTCTAATGAAGATTATCTAAGCGATTATCTATAATGATTTGATTCATATACTACATCATTTTACCAATTACGACATTACGCTATATCAACATATACTTTCGTTGGGGATTAATTTTAGGGTGGGGGGGGGATGATGACAATGGAGGTTATGACGTTAAATAAGTGGTTATTTAGGACATTGAAATATCAAATGTTTTCCGTCTTAATATTATATCGACATTAAGCGAAACATGTGACGGTGGGTTTGTCGATAGCGTTCAATTTCTATCTCACACAGAATGTGCCAAATTTCTTATTATTGCTAAGCGATTGTGTTTGTATTGATAAAAATATTACACAGCCGAGTGTCAATTCAAAGTGAATAAATAATGAGGCTAGGAAGCAGTGACTCATAGAGTCACTAGATAAAAATATTGATGGCATGGAATAATTGATTAGAACTTGGCAGTGTTGATATAAAAATAGTTGATATAACATTTTAATTGTTTTTAATTTGGAATATTTTTTTTCAATCGATAATTCGTTAGCCTGCAATTTTAAAAGTAAATGTTACTGAAACAGACCGAAACGTAAGGCCTAAGCTTACAAAATTGTTTCTTTAAATAGTAAACCTACAGATATTTGATTTAGTCACTATACAATAATGTAAACGCCTGAATTAGACAATCATAATGTGATTCAGCCAATCGTAAAATACAAATATAGATTGTTTTTTCAGTCAAAGAATAAATTTATCAGGGGGGGGGGGAGGCGCTTTACGAATTAGTATAAATATGGGTGGTGGGGTGAGGGCGCTTTTGGAATACGTATTTAAATAGGGGGGGGTGGGCAATTTACAAATAATTATGTATAATTTATACGTTGGGGGGGCGCTTTTCGAATAAATAAGTATATATATATATATATACATATATATATATATATATATATATATATATATATATATATATATATATATATATATATTAGATATTCCAAAACATTTGTAAATTTATTCTGTTTTTATTCAATATTTTAAAAGATAAAATATGCATTATTTAGCTATGTTGTATAATTTTCCCTTAATGAATTATATCTCTAAAGGCTACATGTTTTTTTTGTTATATAAATTCTACAAACTCTAAAAAAATAAAACGTTCAACAAATGTTTCTCTCCACTGTACTAGGCTAACTCCGGGGAGTTACTGCTGAATGACGTACAGTTTCAGCCTCGCACAGTGCAGTACGTGGACAGAACCAAGGAGTATGTCGTACTCACCCACAGGTAACGGTGCTTGTTCTGTTGCCATAGGAACAGTAACCATTACTCATAATAAACATAAGGTGTACTAATAAAAAAATTCATTGTGTTTTTTTTCGTCTCCATATTTACCATAATTCTAACCTTTACTTGTTGAAAAGCGAAGACAAATTAGAATTGTTTTGTTTCTTAAGTTAAGTTTTCTAAATAACCGAAAACCTAAACTTCTCTGTTTTATAATTTAAACATAGAAACAATAGTCACAAGCAAAGAAATAGCACCCATACACAACAGAAAATTTAAAAAAAAAGTCAACCGGCAATGTAATTAGGCTCATGAAATTGGAATTCATTCGTAGCTGTGTCCAGTGATTCTGTCAAACTTTTTTCTCCGTGGTTTGCGGGAGGCGGGGGGGGGGGGGGGGTGACTTGAAATTTTCATGTGGGTGTACTAAATTTTCCCGTATACATTTTCTATAAAAATTGTATAACGTTCGGATTGGATGGGAGGGGGGGGGGTTGAAAACGTGCTTTGGACCCCCTCACCCGTAGAGATGCCTGAAACTTTGAGACTGCGTCATATAAATAAATTTTGTTGTCAGAACTACTCTCAGCTTCCTCAACGTGAGTCAGGCCCGTGTGGTCGCGAACCTAGGTTCCACAATGCAGACTTTAGAGTTAACAGCCGTGCGCTCTACCCTCCCACCACGTCTATCCTAAACCTTATTGCTTTCTATCGACTGGTCTAAATCTAAATCATCCCTTAACCCTTGTTAAAGTCGTTGGGGCACCACAGAGTGCTGCGTCTAAAACTAAGTGCCGTGCGACGGTGCTCACCCCTCTACAGACCTCTATCAACTATTACTCAATAATAAATACAAATGTAAATAGCAGACGTACTTCTATCTACTTACTTTCGCTACACAAGTCTAGTGGAAGAAGGGGAGCGGGTTGGACATATACATATATATATATATATATATATATATATATATATATATATATATATATATATATATATATATATATATATATATATATATATATATATATATATATATATATATATATACATATATGACAATAATATGCCTTTACAACCTTCTTTTCCTAAAGACTCAGCAATTCAAGTGTGTATAACCTGACGTCTACCAATGTGTCCACCATATTTGAAGTCCATCTCTACGGCCAGCAGAAGTCCAGCATCTTCTGTACCACTGCCGGCATCAACAACCCGGTACATTAGTCAATTATGTTAATTAGTCGGAAACTGTCCAATCACTTGATGTTTAAAGATTTGTTTATTAAAAGCACGGTTTATAAGTTTTAGGATATTTAAGCTGAAGTTAAATTTCATGTGTGTGACTTTAATAGTACGCTCTATATAAAAAAAAAATTTCATTTCCTATTATTTTGAAAGTCATATATGATGTATCCGGAAATTACATGTAAATATGTTTTGGAAAGTTATCAAAAACATCAAGAATTTGTATTTAATTTGTGTGGCCATCTAGTAATGAATAACTATAATGTCACAGTTTTTAACTAAATAGGATGGCTTAACCTGTCTTTCTATTATTCCAGTCAATTTATGCGCCTCGCTTGTTGTGTTGCTAACTATGATTGAAGCAAAAATTGATATTTTATTTAATATAATAATACACAATCCAATTTAAAATTAACTTTTATTTTGAGTTTCGTTTTTTAGCGCAGTTTCCTTACAGGAATTGCGATTATTAATTCGTCATTTCTGGATGGATGTGTGTCCGCAGCGTTAAGTCGTCTTAAAGTCGTATCTCCTCCTCAACGAAGCAATATCGAGGACTAGTTCCAAAGCAAATATGTTAAGCAAGTTCCGAGGATGATTGTGGGCCAAAAAAATTCCCGGAATTCCTTCCTGGATTTCCCGGAAAAGCCAAAAACCCTCGAAAAAATGCAGTTTTTGGCCCATATCTCGGCAACCAGACCACGTAGCGACTTGAAACATTTACCAATCGATTCCTGCCATAATTTAGAACAATATTGCCGAAGAAAGTTTTCAAAAATATCCTTTCGTTCGGTCACAACATTTTTTTTAAATTACAGGATAACATAAGGAAATTGCGCTTAAATTGTCAATAGCCTTTTTATTAACTCGTTTTTATCATAAATCAAAATCCAATGTATACTTAACTTTTATTTTAAGTTTCATTTTTTATCATGATACAAAATCGAATTTAAAATGAACTTTTACTTGAAGTACATTTTTTAAAAATAAATTATCTTAATTAAAAGTATTTTAAAAGCCTATACGTATTTCAAAAACTTTTCTTTAAAGGTCCAAAGTCCATCGACATCTAACAGCTTCCCAGTCAGCGGTAATGTGTTAAAATACGTCGATATTCCTCCCATTGTGGACATTTTAACCACGACCACACCAGCGTACCTCACCACAACAGCAAAGATTAACAACACGACATCTGCAGCACCCGGCATGACAACATCATCAGCGCCATCCACCAAAAACAACTCGACAACATCGTCTTCAAATACCACCAGCAACGGTACCTCCTCTACCAGCAGCAACAGCAACAGCACCACAACACTACCACCACCAAACACCAGCACCGTTGATCTGTCTTTGTCCTGTCCGGCGTTTCTCGCCGTTTTACGCCGTATCAGCAACATGACCGACGACGATGTGGAAACCACTATTGAGGTTATCCAGAGGACACTGTACGTCAATCGCAGAAAGACATCCGCGTTCATCCAGAAGAAGGTCAGTCTCCAGGACAACCGCCCTTCTGCGGTGGGGATTGGAGTGAGCGGTATAGGCGTGATAGTCACGGTGTTGGCCCTGCTTGTCGGCCCTGATCTCATTGAGTTGACGTACTGGGTGTACGCCTATATCAAGCAGTATATGGCTAAAGGGAAGCTACACGGCGAGAAGAGGAACATTGAAAGTGGTGAGGTTGGGGGTACTCAGATCGATCAAGGGAAATAAGCGAGTCGTGTCGTGAGATGTTATCATCAAGGGACATAACCGAAAAAAAGAGTTTTCTATAAAGTGGATAAAATGCTTTAATATAGTTTATTTTATAATTATAAAAGTGCTACATTTATGAATGAATTTAACTAAATTCATCGGTAATATAAGAACAATTATACATTTACCTTGCATTTTTAAAATACATTTTACAATCACTTTATTATAAAAATGAAAAGAACGCATAGACAAACCAGTTCCTATTTGTTTATTTTACATGCAATCTTTCTATCATATTATTAAATTACTAGATTAGATCTAGCATCTTGATGTATAATAGAAAATCACGGCCGTTTATATTTCTAGCCAAGGGTGACCATGGTGTCACTTTTTAGCTACACAGATGAGGAAGGGGCAACAGTGAACTAAGACGTCAAAAGTAACAGAGCTGCATCCCTTAACGAGGATTTTGAAATCAAATTTTTATGCCATTTTACTTTCTTTCTTTAATTATTATATATTCACTTTATGATTATATATTGGAAACTTTGTAAAATTACTAAATAAATGATTGTTATTTGGTTATTTTTATATTGAAAATAAATACAACAAAAGTGTAAGAGGAATACTTTGGAAATAATTGTTTGAAAGGGAAGAATGTGTGCTTAGTTGTGTCTCATTGTACCCAACGTATCATCAAATGCATTCAAATTTATTTTATTTAAATGTATTCAATAACGGTAACAACAGCAGGCTGCTTATTTATTTATAATATTCTTTTTCTTTTATCCCAGATTTATTTACAGCTCTAGCTGTAAGTTAATATCCCCTAAACCTAGCTCACCGAAAAAAATTGTCCTTTTTACTTTAAAAAAAATATTTTTCCCCCACACATAAAATTAAATCTCTATTTATCACGCAAATACATTTTCATGTTTAAAAATTACAATTGAAATGAGACGATTTGTATTATGTTTAAGTAAACCATCTACATTGAACGAACGTACATGTCAGAAAGAAGTATTATTATTTAAATATGTATTAATCCTCCCCCGACTATGAGGAAAAGTAATACTTAATCAATCTGACTTACTTTTGGGAGAATTCTAAAATAACGTTCTTCAATTTTGTTTTATTTTTATCGTAACAAAGTATTTCATCTTTATTCAGTTGAATAAATCAAAATATTTTTTTTACTTTACATGTAAGCCTATCGATATTTTTCATATTTCTTATGACCATGTTGAAAATTAAGTCACACAAGTTTTCCTTGAAAGTGTGGTCAGCACTTCGTCCAGCCGCCTTTACGTTTCTTAACGTAACCCTCGTACCCTTAAGGGCCTGGTGACCTAATAACTCGAGCACAGAATGCGAGATTTAAACTTTCAGGTTTGCAGTAGTGAGACCTAACACCAGACCACGCCCACTGTGTTTCTTTTTAAAATCGGTTTTCTGTTTTCAAAGCAAACATTTCATGCAATTCGTCTACCCGGGCGTTAGTCAAAGTTGAACAAACTTCAAACCAGTCTAACAAATTTAACAGATTAAAAAAGAAGTAATGAATGCAATAACACAAAGACAATTTTATTAAAAAAAATGTTTTCCAGCTGTCCCGGCACAATAATGGGAAATCAAAATGGTATTTTGAATTAAGAAACACAGTTTTTGAAAAGTTGCATGCAATAGAAACTCTAAATATCATTTTTAAATTTATAGAAGCGTTTTGTTTAATATATAGGCTATTCAAAAACGTTAGCTAACAAATACGTAAGCACAATATGGAAAAAAATCGTGTAGCATTTTAACTAATTTCTTAAATAATGTAGTCTCATTTTTTATCTGATGGAAATTTCGCACAAATAATATTATTGGTTTTGAGACCTATAGAGAGACTGTTATTGCATTTGATCAAATGTCACCACCTTAGCGATGCCTTAATGGCCAACGCATACACTTCCAAGTGTGCTGGTCAAAAGAACTGAGCTAGATCAGAATTTTATTTAATTGACGTTGCTGGGAGTTTCTCGAGTTGTCAGTAGAACCTCTTGCTTGTTCAGGAGTTACATTTTAGAAATATCTTTTGAATACGCTGACCGAACACAATCAGAAATGAAATACTATGGCGACAGATAAACCAACTTCCATTTAAATAAGAGATCCTACAGAAAAAATGTAGATGAATTGGCAACACACTCAGGAAGCCTGTATCAAGCAGAACAAGATCGGACCTATGCTGGAATCCACATGGCAAATGGAAAAGAGACAGACCAAGAAAGACCTGGAAGAAGACACCAAGAAGATTGGATACACACGAGGACAATTGTAGAGACTAGCCAAGGACAGAGATGCCTTGAAAGCTCTTGTCAGTTTCATACGTATTCAAGAGAGGTGACAGGCTAGCCTAACCTTCATATCAGTTGTTCGTGTAACATTGATGATGACATTTTGTGTCCCTAAAAGTTATCAAACTATTTTCATTTTGCTACAGTATTTCAAAAAGTGGTGAGGGTTTTACAAACATGGAGAAATTACGAACTCTGTTACAAAAAAAGAATTGACTGTGGAAGATGCTAATATAGTAAAATAAGGTAACAATTGATGAATCTTCTATAAAAAAAAAAACGTTGCATAGATTCAACACTTCGTGTCGACATATATAGTATTCTGCTTTAATCTAAGCTAATTAAAACTAAAATGTGAAATCTAAAAATATGCACTGTAAAAGAACTTTTCAGAAGCATAAAATATCCTTATTATTTTAATGTGTATATAAAGTAACCGAAACATAAGAAAAACTACAATGCAATAAATTAGTGTTACATTTAGGCAGTCTCAACATAAATAGTTAATGTTTTGATTTAATAAAACTTTATTAGGTGTGCAGTTGTCATTTATTTAAAAAAAAACTATTTTAGTACATCTTTAAAAAGACCACACGTGTTATAAAATGGATGCTTTATTTTAAAAATAATTATAATTTCTGTTAACTATGTTGCAGTTTTAAACAACTGTTAATTTAATATGGTCTCTTTGTTTTTGCAATGATTGGTTCATCTATTTTCCGAATTGACCTTGATTAGTAATTTTTGCTGTTTTAGTTACTTTTCATTTTTTCGATGTAAAGCTTTGTTCATTTTAACTTTTTGTTGATATATTTTCCATGTCAATAGCTAGTTCTGGCTACGGCTTACTAATGTTAGCTGTTTAAATAGTGTTTATAATGTTGCCGTGTATTTTGGTTGCTTCAAGTTAGTGATATTTATTGTCGTTGTGATCGGTGTTTTATTTTGTATTAGCATGCTTGTGTCACCTAGTGTTTCTACAGTAACGCTGTTTACTGTGGTATTTTGCATTGTCAAGCATCTGTTGCTATTTGCTGTCAACAGGGTTGTATTCTTTGTTGTAGCTGTCGTTTCAATACCCTGTTGTTGTGTATCATGATTTGTAATGCGGCAACGGTTTGACCAGTGTTGTTGTGACCCAGATGTCTGATATGCTTGTCGTCGACCAGAAATTGCAATCAGAAAATGTGTTGATGTTTTCCTAAAGTGGAATGAATTTGATGTTATGTGGGTTGGCCTTGGGATCGTTTGTATGGAAAGTGAAGCTACGATTGGTGGTGTGAGGAATTGGAGTAAGTGTTGAACCTTTTGTGCTTATTGTTCTAAGTTATTGTAGTTTTGTGAGAGCAGGTGGGGTGGGGGGGGGGGGGCATCTGAGGTTGCCGCAAATTTTGTCTTTTTAATATAGTTTGAATTCTAAAGGGTATGGGCCTTGTTTTTATTTTGGTGTGTTATTTAGATCCACCGCGTTGAAACTTTCGGACGTGAAGTACCAAGTATTCTATTAAGCATTTTGTGTCCGCATTTTTCTGTTTGCGCTTTTTTCCGTTGCGCATTTTTGGCGTTTATTTTACATTATGCTTTTTTTTCTATTGCGCATCTTTCTGATCACATAATTTCATAGTCGATCTAACATATGAAGATGAAATGACAAGCATATAGTTAAAAACTCGACTTAATCTACATTATGTAATAATTCTAACGGGTTTATTTAGTGTAGTTAAATCTATGTTTAAAATATTTTTAAAATCAATTTTAATCATTTTCAAAACACATTTTTATTTACAAACATGCAATTTTATTACCCCAATGTGCAAAGAACAAAATTAAACAACATAAATTAACCATCACAATAATTATAATTTTGTTTGGAAAATGTATACAAATTACGCCCCTTTGTGTTTGTGTTTGCGTTTCTGTTTGCGTTTGCTTCACGTTTATGTTTGTGTTTTGGTAAGTATGGTTGTGGCTAGGGTTAAGTTTAGATTTAGAGTTAGGTATTGGGTTATTTTTTATTTTCTCAAACGTCCGTATTAGGAATATAGACGTTTAATTGGAAAGTAATATAATTCCTGAACCCGGGCAATGCCAGGTATATACTGATTAAAAACACGCAAGTCACGGTCCTTTACAGACATGTTTTTTTTTTTACAAAATCGAGTGCAGGGTCTGGCCAAGACGGCTAGTCTACTATAAAATAAAGCCACCAGAACAAATTAAATGTTAAATAATATGTAAAGGATTCCCAAAAATAATTTTTTTAAATGTAGTTTAAATTCTTGAGAATAAAATTAAGCCAAAATTTTAAGTGAAATTTAACATTATTTACCCGGACAAAGGCGTTACCTACTCCCCCCATGCAGCAGGACATACTGCTGACCACACACTTCTTTTATATGGACAGTTAACTAAACAGGGCATCTCTACTACACCTGCCCTATGAATCTTTGGGTTAAAAGGGTACATTTATATAATTGTATTTTGAAATATTTAAAATAATACGTTTCATTTGGAGAGGGAGCTCAGTCAATGCCTTTGGAAATATTACTAGAGTTGTGTCATTGACATCTCAGCTGAATACATTGCCATGCACAATATACTGGGGAGCCGGACGTTTTCCCGAAAGACACTTGCCCGAATGCCGTTCGCCCGAAGGCCGATTTTCCGAATGGACAC